CCCAGCCGCGTCTCGTGCCGGCGCTTGGTCTCCCGCAGCTCCTGGGGGACGGGGCAGGGGGCACGGTGTCACCTCGGGGTGGCATCGGCCGGGGGATGCAGCGTGGAGGGGTTTTATCCCCAGGTCTCACCTCGCTGTAGATGTTTTTCTGGAACTCCAGCTCCTCCTTCAGCGTCTGCAGGCGGTTTTCGGCGTCCACGCGGCGCAGCATCTCATCCTGCAGCTGCTTCTTGGCTTCGCTCAAGGCTCCCTCCAGCTGTGGGGGACGGAAAAGGACCCTCACTGCTGGTTCCTGGGGACCACTCAGCCCTGGCACCCCCCACCCATACCTGGCACCCACCACCCAGCCTTGGCACCCACCATCCATTCCTGGCACTCAATACCCAACCCTGGCACCCCATACCCAGTCCTGACATTCCCCACCCATTCCCAGCACCCACCATCCAGCCCTGATATCCCTCACCCAGCCCCGGCACCCACCATCCATTCCCAGCACCCAATACACAGCACCATCACCCAATACCCAACCCTGACATCCCCCACCCAAGGTTGGCACCCACCATCCATTTCCGGCACCCACCACCCAACCTTGGCACCCAATACCCATCCCTGACAATCCCCACCCAACCTTGGCACCCAATACCCATCCCTGACAATCCCCACCCAACCTTGGCACCCAATACCCATCCCTGGCACCCAATACCCATCCCTGGTACCCACCACCCAACCCTAGCACCCAATACCCAACCCTAACATCTCCCACCCAGCCTTGGCACTCATCACCCAACCCCAGCACCCACCACTCAACCTTGAAACCCAATACCCAGCCTCAGCACCCATCAACCAGCCTTGGTACCCATCACCTATCTCTGGTACCCACCACCCATCCCTGACACCCACCACTCAACCTTGGTAACCATCACCCATCCCCGGCACCCATCACCCATCCCTGGTACCAATCACCCAACCCTAGTACCCATCACCCAGCCTCAGCATCCCTCACCCATCCTTGGTACCCACCACCCAACCCTGGAACCCCCTGCCCAGCCCCAGCACCCACCGCCCCCGGGGGCAGTTGGGGACAGGGCTGTCACCGCTCACCTTGGCCACCTGCGCCCTCAGGTCCCGCACTTCGGTCTCCAGGTTCCTCTTCTCGCTCAGGGCGGTGGAGAGCGCGGCCTCCTTGGAGTTGAGCAGAGCCTCCACGTCCTTGAGGCGCGCCTGGGCGCTCAGCAGGTCCCCCTCCTTCTTGGCGTTCCTGTGGGGCACCGCATGGGTGAGCATCGGGGAGGAACCGCGCATCGCACCCCTCTGATCACCCCAAAACTGGTGCAAAAAGGGACCCGGTGTGACCAGCACCAGTTTGGAGACTGGGAAGAAACTGGGTGAGGAGGAGCAGCATCCGTGGGCCATTGAGCGCCGCTAGAGGGCGGTGTGGGGTGGCACAAGGTGACGGGACAGCGTGGGGTGGCACAAAGGGGTGGCACAGGGTGACATGGGACAGTGTGGGGAGGCACAGGGCAGTGTGGGGTGGCACAAGGGGATGGCACAGGGTGACACAGGGCGGCTTGGGGTAGCACAAGGGGGTGCCACAAGGGGGCGGCACAAGGCAGTGTGGGATGACACAGTGGGGTGGCATAGTGGGGTGGCACAGTGGGGTGGCACAGGGTGACATGGGACAGTGTGGGGTGGCACAAAGGGGTGGCACAGGGTGGTATGGGGTGGCACAGGGTGACACGGTGCAGTGTGGAGTGACACAAGAGGGTGGCACAGGGTAACACAGGATGGTGTGGGGTGGCATAGGACAGTGTAGGGTGACACAGTGGGGTGGCACAAAGGAGTGGCACAGGGTGTCATGGGACAGTGTGGGGTGGCACAGGGCAGTGTGGGGTGACACAAGAGGGTGGCACAGGGTAACACAGGATGGTGTGAGGTGGCACAGGGCAGTGTGGGGTGGCACAAGGGGATGGCACAGGGTGACACAGGGCGGTTTGGGGTAGCACAAGGGGGTGCCACAAGGGGGTGGCACAGGGCAGTGTGGGGTGACACAAGAGGGTGGCACAGGGTAACACAGGATGGTGTGAGGTGGCATAGGACAGTGTAGGGTGGCACAGTGGGGTGGCACAAGGTGACACAGGGTAGTATGGCATGGCACAGGGCAGTGTGGGGTGGCACAGGGCAGTGTGGGGTGGCACAGTGTGGCACAGGACAGCGTGGGGTGGCACTGGGGGGTGCCACAGGGTGGCACAGTGTGGCATAGGATGGTGTGGGGTGACACCGCATGGCATGGGGTGACACCATCCAGCACGGTGTGACACGGTGCAGTGTGGTGCAGGACAGCGCTGCACAGGGTGGCACGGTGTGACATGGGGTGACACGGTGTGACACGGATCCGCTCAGTGCAGTGACCTCGGGCCAGGCTCAGCCCCCCAGTACCAGACTGGGGAGGGGTCTCCCCAGCTCCAACATTGCTGTGCAGCCCCCCCATGTCTCTGTTCCCCCCCAGCAGCCGCTCAAGGCCGCTCCTCACAGAGCCAAGATGAGGCATCGCGTGCACAGGGAACCCGACCCCACAAAAACCCCAAAACGCAACCTGGCGCTATTTTGGTAGGGCCTATAAAAAGAGACAACCCCGATGCCGTGTCGGTGGCACCGGGGTGACTCGCGCTGTTGGCTCATGGTGGAAACTGTCACTCTGTGTCCCTCTAAATTCTGTGTAGGACTCGTGGAGGCTGGATATGGCCGGGGACCAACCCTGAGCAGGATGGGGAACATCAGCAGTGGGACAATGAGGAGTTGGATCGACTCCACTCCTCCTGCCCATGGGGACCAGGACCCCAGGACGAGCAGAGACTGAGACCCCAAGACAAGCCAGGATGGACCCCAAGACAAGCAGGGACCAGCGACCCCAGGATGAATGGGGACCAGGGACCCCAAGATGAGCAGGAGCTGGGACTGCAAGACAAGTGGGAGTCAGTGTCCCCAAGACCATCAGGGACCAGGATCCCAGGACAAGCAGTGGCTGGGACCCCAAGACAAGCAGGGCCTGGTGTCCGCAGGACAAGCGGGGACAGGGATCCCAAGAGAAGTGGGAACCAGGACCCCAAGATCATCAGGGACCAGGATCCCAGGACAAGCAGAGACTGGGACCCCAAGACAAACAGGGAGTGGTGTCCCCAGGACAAGTGGGGACAAGGACCCCAATACAAGCAGGGACTGGGACACCAAAACAAGCAAGGACGGGACCCCAATATAAGTGGGGACCAGGCCCCCAAGACAAACAGGGACACCAGGACAAGTAGAGACAGGACCCCAAGACAAGTGGGGACAGGGACCCCAAGGCCATCAGGGACCAGGATCCCAGGACAAAGAGGGACAGGGACACCAAGACAAGTGGAGATCAGGGCCCTAAGACAAACAGGGACCCCAAGACAAGCAGGGACCACTGTCCCCAGGACAAGTGGGGACCAGGGACATCAAGATGAGCAGGGACAGGGACACCAAAGCAAGCAAGGACCAGAACCCCAAGATAAGTGGAGATCAGGGCCCTAAGACAAACAGGGACCCCAAGACAAGCAGGGACCAGGACCCCAAGACAAGCAGGGACCGGGACCCCAAGACAAGCAGGGACCAGGACCCCAAGACAAACAGGGACCGGGACCCCAAGACAAGCGGGGACCAGTGTCCCCAAGACAAGCGGGGACCAGTGTCCCCAAGACAAGCAGGAACCGGGACCCCAGGACAAGCAGGGACCAGTGTCCCCAGGACAAGTGAGGACAGGGACCCCAGGACAAGTGGACACCGGCATCCCCACACTCACACACATGGGGAGCTCCTTGCTCAGTCACCAGCAGATTTTTCCTGCGTTTCTCTCTGCCTTGACCCAGCACTGAGCATTCACCCCCAGTAATCCCTCCTTGTCTCCATTCCTTGTCCCGGGAATCGCGGTCTCCCCCAGTTATCCCTGTTTGCCCCCATTCCTTGTCCCGGGAATCGCGGTCCCCTGTGCCAGCGCCGCACCACGGCCCCTTCTCCGCAGCCTCCTCCTTTCGGGCCGGTGACTCACGGGACAAAAACGCGGCTGGGAGCGGATCCGGAGCCGTTTGAAGCCGAATTTTCCCATCTGGCGGCGCTCGCCCTCGCAGCCAGCGTGGCCGGTTCCAGGCAGGGTTTGATCCCGCCGGAGTTAACCGTTGCTTCACTTTTGGGAAGGGTTTGCCCTCGGCTTTTTGCTTGCCATGGTGGTGCAGAGATGTGGGGTTTTTTGGGATGGGATCTGGGGGGCATTTGCAGCACCAGGCCATGTCCTGAAGCCCCTGACTCTTTACGGGACGCCGGTGCTGTTTTTTAAGTGAAATACGGAGGGGAAAATGCTGAGATTGAATGGATTCGCCCTCATCAGGCACTGCAGGGATCCAGGGCACAGGGGAAAACATCGAAAAAACCACAATATCGCACAGAATCACTGCCAAAAAGACCCCAAATCCACCAGCCACAAGGGATGAGATCCACCCCAAAAAGGGCTGCGTGAATGGGGACCAGGGACTCAGCATCCTGCAGGATTTGATGCCCTGGGTTGGGATTCAGGGGGTAAAAACCAAGCGTTTAGGGAAGGCGAGGGGAGAAAAAGCAGCAGAGGCAGCAAATCCTCAAGAAATAAAGATCTCGAGGGAAAAGACGGAGGGAAAAGGGGCCTCACGGCGTTTTATTTTTAGCTTTTAAAAGCAGGAAGAGGAGGGGAAGAAAAAAAAAAAATCAGAGCAAATTGCGGCTGAGCTGCCAGAAAATCCCAACGTTAATGGAAAATTGGAGCGGCTCCGGCTGGGAAGGCTCTGGCAAAGCTGGCTTCAACGGGGCGGGTGATCCCCATGGAGATCTGCTACCGCCTCCCATCGCTCTGCCCCAAAATCCCAGCCCCAAACCAGGGCAGACTGGAAAATCGGAGGCAATCGAGAGCCACTGGCGCTCCAGCGGCTTTGGGGACGTGTCCCAGGGGTGTCAATGCGCTCCGAAAAGCTACGACGTGGTTTAGGAACATCCCTCTGATGGATCCCGAATCCCTTCCTGCAGCGCCCGGCTGCCCCTGTGCTGGACTGGGACCAGTTGGGATGGGGCCAGGCACAGAAACGGGTGTTCCCATCCTTCCCGGCCCTGAAATTGCAGCCACCCCACCCCGGCCAAGGTGCTAAGTCAGGTTTGCCCGCAGGGATCCTGGGTTTTCTTCTCGTGTGAGCGCCAAGGAGGCACCCAAAACAGCCACCCGCTCCTCTGCAACCGGATGGGGGAAGCACCACCCCAAAAATGGCTTTATGATGCATTTATAGGTTGCGAAACTGAGGCAAGGGAGGCGTCACGAGCCCAGGGAGGTTTGTGATGGAGCTGGGTGCTGGGAGGATGCGGAGAATCTGCTCTGATCCACCTTGGGCTCAATGCTCTGCACCGGGGATCACTCGCCCATCATGGGGATTGTCCTCCCATCATAGGGATCCATCACAGGGATCACTCGACCATTGCAGGGATCAGTCCTGGGCATGGCTTGCTCATTGCAGGGATCACTTGCCCGTCACAGGGATTGTGCCCCGATCACAGGGATCGGCCCTGGGGATCACCCCTCCCCATTTGGGGGATCACTCCCCCCCCATCACGGGGATCAGTCTCGGGGATCAGTCTCGGGGATCAGTCTCGGGGATCATCCCCCTGTACCAGGGATCGCTTGCCCATGGTGGGGATCACTCACCCCAGGGATCACTCGCCCATCGCAGGGATCACCCCCCTCCATCATGGGGACTGGTCCCAGGGACCACCCCCCCTCCATTGCAGGGATCAGTCCCAGGGATCACGTCCCCATCACAGAGATCACCCCCCAATGCAGGGATCAGTCCCAGGGATCACGTCCCCATCACAGGGACCACCCCCCCAATGCAGGGACCAGTCTCAGGGGTCACGTCCCCATCACAGGGATCACGTCCCCAATGCAGGGACCAGTCCCAGGGATCACATCCCCATCACAGGGATCATCCCTCCAATGCAAGGACCAGTCCCAGGGATCACATCCCCACCATGGGGATCACTCACCCCATTATGGGGATTGCTCACCCATCACAGGGATCACCCTTCCCCCCAAAAGCAAGAGTCCAGCCTGAGCCAAGGCGGTTTTGGGAAACCCTCCATGGTGGGGCACTGGGAACACGGTGGAGCACTGGGAATGCAGCGAGGCGGCTTCTCCCAGCTCCTGACTCATCCGTGCCGCCGCGCCTTTGCCAAATCACCAGGATAAACAGGCGCCCGTCGCCTAGCAGGGG